CAGGAATGGGCAGAGGTAGCTCCCTTTCCCACTGCACTGTTGCCCCTGTCACCATCCCCATTTGAGCCCAGCTGGGCTGAGCTGGGCAAAAGTGACTCTGAAGCTCCCCCTGTCCCCAAGACAGAAAAGAAAGGAGCAATGGGCGGGGCGGGGAGGGAAGGAGAGGGGATATGCCTGTGAACACCGGGGGAAGGAGAGGGGGTTCACTTGCTTTAGGGTCTTAATGAAGTTTTCAGAGGCTCCCACCATGCACTCTAGTCCAAAATGGGGAGGGGTGCAGCAGCACCATTGCATTCCCTCAGGATCTGCCCAACTCTGGTATTACACGTCTAATCAACCCGTATAGCACCCAGTGGCAGCCACTGTACCTTCAGAGATACATATCCATATTTGAGCAAATGGACAAAACAAAGCAAATAAGTGGCTTCCTTGAGCCAGATCGTCAACATCATGGGCCAGAATGTTAATTCCAACTCAGTTGTCTTAAGAGACTGGCTGAAGACTGCCAGGTATCTGGCTTTCAGCTACTTGCTCCCTCCTACCTCCACGTAGAGGATGTGCTGTTGTGGAGCAGGATCCTGGTCTGCACAGTGGCTCTTTACTTCAAGGTGGTCACTGAAGTAAGTTGACTTGGAGCAGTCCTTAGAGTGCTTCTTTTGGGCTCTTTTGACACCTGACCAGCCTAATATCATGGAGCAGAAAGGTGATTTAGAGCCCTTCACAGCACATTCTTCAGCCCTGCCAAAGCCCAGCTTGGCACTGAGTCGTGTCTGGCCCTATCAATTCTCTGTTTCCTGCAGCAGCCTTTGTATTCGAAGCAGGAAACATTTCCCATTTGATGAATCTTGCTCTGCTTTACCTTGTTGTGCTTGCTTGATCTGTCTTTGTGCTATTTTGCATTATATTAAACCAATTGCTGCACGTGAAGATTTTTGTGATTTGGACATAAGCCTATAGCATTTGAGTCTGCCAAACTCCAAACTGGATGAGTGATGTAATGTGATGTATTATTCATGTGACACCTGAATTTTGTCACATAGGGAGATCATTATTATTATTTTGTATCTCAGTAACCTGAAGGGGCCCCACCCAGGCAAGCTGACCCTGAGGGCCCCCTCCTAGCTGGGACTACTTGGACCCAGCTCAATGTGCTGCAGTCTGGGCACACATGTAAACTGCACAACCAGGAGCTTCCCAGGAGCAATAAGCTGTGGAGCAATAAGCTCCGCCATTTATTGCTGCACGCTAGTGGCACATGTAGATGAGCCCAGAAGTTACTATCCTCATTTCACCAATGGGGCAATGAGACAGAAAGATGAAATGAGTTGCCCGTGGTTGTAGAGGAAGTCTGGTAGAAATGGAAATTACTTAAATTTCATCCCATAGGTTACTCTCAGGATCACCCTTTCAGTTGTGCTGCCAGAGAGAAAAGGCCATAACACCTGAAAAGAAGCCTTAAAACAAAAAAAGGAAAAAAAAATAGGGGCTTGATTCACCACATTATGGCCAACAAGCACATTGGTTATCTGTGTTGCAGGGGGCTTAGCAATGGGATCATAGAAAGGGACAGATTGCTATGGTCCCATTGGGATTTAGCAATAGCAAACTCTCTTTTATATCCCTGTACATCTGAGCCACCTTGCAATATTTGTCATCATCGCCATAGTCACGTTTATTATTCCACTTCTGAATGTTTTCAGGCAGTCGGAGCCCCAGTCCTCCCTGAGCTTTTTTCTTGTATTTATTTTTTATTTCCTTTATTTGTTATGCTGCCCTTCCCAAAAGAGGCTCAAGGTGGCCTACAATTAAAAAAAAAAAAAGTCACTTATAAAAACAAAACAAAATATTAAATAAGCTAGTGTAATGAAACAAACTCTCCCCCAAATACCTCGAAATTCAAAACCATCCACCTAACCCAACCCCCCTGCCTAGGGGTATTCCCTCTTAGCCCAACCCAGCCTCACTTTTCAACCCCCATTCACTGCCTCCGTAAGAGAGAAACCTTTTTCCGCCCATATTCCCTCCCACTCCTACCTACTTCCATGTCCCTGCCTCAAAATCAGAGGATACCCCCTCTCTCCCTTACTGTCCCCCCTGAGCTCATGCCCTGCTCTTACACAGGGGGGCCATGGCTGTGCCATCCTACTCACTCCCCTGCCTCACACCCAGGGGACTCTCCTCCTCCCTCACTTAATGTCTCATGCAAGCATGTAGCTGCCTCTCACAGGGGGACTGTGGCTGTTCCACCCCAGATATGTCTACAACTCAATGGCAAGGCCATCAGACAATAGGAAACTCAGACAGTGATGGCAGTAAAATATGCAGGTAGCATGGATGGAATGGAACCAGAATAGGCGTGAATGAGATTGAAAAAAAATCATTTATTTGCAACAGTACTGTTCAATTTCTGGGTGGCTGGGGGCCACAGGCCCCCTGGCCATACACCGCATAGACTGCACACTCAGCAGGATGCATGCCATGTAGGACATGCTGTGATGTGACACGCTGCACAACAGCCACCCTCTCCCCCTCACTGCTCAGTGCTGGCAACCCCATGCTCTGTATGTTGCACCATGCCACATGAGCCCCTCTCACTGTACTGTACAGACAGGCCTGTACTGTGCTGCATGGGGTCCTTGGCTGCCCGGCTGTGGGCTGCTGTGGGCCACTCCCCTGCTACCCCATCCTAAGGGGTGGGGGCAGAAAGCAGAAGCCAGAGGAGGCAGGTGGAGACTCTGCTGGCAGCAGCTGGAACAGTAGAGAGACTGGGAGCCTGAGGACCACAGGGTAACCCCTCAGGGGCCAGATGTGGCCTCCAGGCCTCCACTTGGACAGCCCTGTTTGACAATAAAAAAGGAGAGAGAGGAAAGTATTGAAGACTTAAGACTTCCAAGGCTACTTGAAGGGCTGCAGAAATGCCTGCTGTATTCTATCCTGTTCACGGACCTCACTTAACAAAACTCTGGGGATGGGCACAACATCAAAGGGGGCAGGGACTTGGTGCATGCCAGCTGCCTCACAGTAATTACCTGGGTGCATGCTCTTATCCCACAGCAAAAGAAAAGTCCTGCTCAGTCTGGTCAGCTCTGCAGCCCTAAGCTGGAGCAGGTTCAGTTGGTGTGTGAGACCTGAGCATGTGCCATCCTGGCAGACGTGTGCTCCAAAAATCTGCAAAAGTTTGGCCCGTTCCGCCCCACTCCCCCCGCACCCCAAGGGGCCATTATGTGTTCTGTTTGCTACCAACATAAACTATGCCGCTTACAGAAAACCGTGTAATTTAGATCAATGCTGCCTTGGCCTTTTGAATGTTGGTACCTAGCTCAGAAGTCCTTCACTAACTGTAGTAATGTTTGTGTGAGAATCAAGCCTCTTTCCACACTTCATAGCTGGAGCCTGCCTTCATAACAAGCTGAAGATGAATGCTAACTGTGACCAGTGACACAATCATTTCTAAAGAGAAACATTTTTTTGTGTTGCAACCTTGCAATTTGAGCCCACGGGGATGGAAAATGAAGCATCAAGATGCTTAAATGTTTTCTCCTGGAAAAATCAAACTAACCTCTTTTTCCAAAGTGTGGAAGTTGAGGTTGAAATGTTATTTTGCAGCTAATAACTCTATGCTGCATGGTCAGGGAAAGGGGGAGAGGACAGGAGGAGAGGGAAAGAAAG